GTTATGATTTTTCGAAGTTTCAGCGCAGTAGTAAAACACAGAAATCGAAATTCAAATCGGTAGATTGTTAGCCGGAACAACCTAAACGAGAATCGATGATCTTGTGAATAGGAGTCTGTTGATATAAAGACAGTCGAGAATGGATGTCGTATGAAAAAGATATGAATTTTGAACGGATTTTAGCAGTCTAAGCTCTCTAAAAATAATAAATTAAAAATAAAGTGAGAATTAGCCGACGAAGGCTAAATGAAAGTTATAAATCTCGTTGATAGTTACGTGTGAATATAAAGAACGTCAAAAATAGAGTTTGTATGAAGAAGTTACAAATTTTTAAAGTTTTCCCGAGTGCGCAGCACGCTTCTAGAAGCTGCCACACTCTTCTAGTCGACGAACGCCACGTGTCACGAGGAAGGCGGCCGACCAGAGCCAGGGCGTGGCGTGCCTTCCCAAATTTCTCCCTATAAATATGTTTCAACCTCCATTCGATTTCCCACACCTTCCCATATTTCTCTCTCGTTTTTCTCTCCATTTTGGTCGGAAATCTCTGTAGTTTTTAAGATTCTAGCGAAGCTCTGGGTCCCTAAATGCCCGACATTAGTAGTTATCAGGTCGGAGTCCTGCCAGTGTAATTTCCGGACTTTTGTCAAGAAAATCTCTTTAAGTTAAGCTACACTTATATTGCTTTCAGTGTAACTTATATTTATATTCATAGTCGTTGTTATGAATTTATAAATAAGATTTATCAGTAATTCTAAGTCATTATACTGATTGATCTACTTACCAGAATGATGCCTAGGATGGATTTAATGAGGTGTTTAAAGTGGGATTTCCAAATAGTATACTTTGTATACCAAACAGACCCTAACTCCGATATGATCATATCTGGTTGTTCCTTACTTGATAGATCTTGATGTAGACATTGGGATAAGTGAGAAATCTAGACTATCATTAATCGCCATGAATATAAGACTATGACTTAGTGATATGAACCTAGGTCACATCAAAGGAGAAGCTAAGTACTAAAGTGAAGCGCTGCCCAACTTTCCAGTCATCCACTTTTAACAAGTGAGCGCATAGTTACTTTCATCTTACACATATATATGAAGTATTTAGATAATTAAATGCTATATGTGCTTATGTGGAAAAATGTTATGTGATAGATGAAATTGTAAGATGATTTTTATACGATTTATACTGTATATGTATTTCATGATTATAATATATTGTGTAGTAAAGGGTAATGAGAGATTAAGATGATAAGATGCCATAATATGATGAAAGATGAAAATAATGACAGGATGTCACGACGTTAATTGTACTAACGATGTAGGAACTGGTACTATTGTACTAACGACGTTGGAACTGGTACTATTGTACTAACGATGTAGGAACTGGTACTATTGTACTAATCATGTAGTCATATAACATAGTATAGATGACGACCATCGGACTATTAAAGACAGTCATGTGGAATACAGACAGGTATATAACTTGTAGGCGATGGACTTTGTGCCCATTTGATGTACTCTACTTCCTACTGACATGTATTGCGGAGAAATACATGAGACAATACTGTCAGCAACGATGATTTTGATGATCCTTAGGAATGAATATAAAAGAAAATCTATTGATATGTATTGCAGAGAAATCCCTAAAACAATATTGTCAGCAACGATGATTATGATGATCCTTAGGGTAGATCCTTAAGAATAAAAATAGAAGAATATGGGGATGGGTAATCGAGTTAACTGTTTGATAATTAAACATATCAACTATATTATTGTGGGTTTAAAACCCTATATACTGACCAGGTTTCCCAACCTGTCCCACCCAATTTCTTTGTATCACATGTATCGATACAAAAGTATATGATGTTTGGAAATGATGAGAGATTCGAGGAAACATATGCAATTAGATGTTGTAAGGCCAATAATGTTTATGTTTATGCTTATGTTTCTTGTATCAGTTATGACATCTAAAGTTTTAATAATCAATGAAAAAAAATTTCTTCAGAAATACTTTTACGGGACAAATTCCGCTATATAAAGAATACTCTGTTTTTATAAATAAGCATAAATAAAAATATATTTTATGACCACGAAAATGGAGATGTCACATGTACATTGAACACTTGCATGAAATTTGGTGGTGTATGTTAATATTCCCCTCAACACCAAATTCTACCACTCCCATCTTCACAAATAATGATCAAGTTTTCCATGTAGACTAAAATCCTTGTCCCTTTATGTCCTATTGTTTTCATGAAGAGACTAGCATTAACTATAGTTATCATGTAGCCATTATCTCAAAGTATTCTGTAATTTTCACAAACCATGCTCTTGGAGATTGCTTTAAACCATAGAGGGATTCCTTGAGTTTACATAAATAATTGGGGTGTACCTTTCTTACAAAACCGAGTAGTTGCTCCAAATGGATCACACGATCAAGATATCCGTATAGAATGGCATTGTTAAACACGATCAAGATAGTCGTATAGAATGTCGTTGCTAACATCTATTTGTCATACCTTCAAACCCTTACTAACGAATAGGGCAAGAAAAACTCATATCATGGTCAACTTAACTATGAGGCTAAAGGTTTCTTGTAATGTAACCCATATTATCAAGAAAAGTCCCATGACATGAGTCATGCTTTGAACCTAGGGCTGTAAATGAACCGAACGTTCAACAGACTGTTCGTGAACCGTTCGACGGAAAGTTCGTTTATGTTCGTTTATTTAATAAATGAACAAACATTAACACAAATTTCAGTTTGTTTAGTTAAACGAACGAACATGAACAATAGTCTCGTTTGTTCAATTATGTTCGTGGACGTTTGTTTATGTTGTTCGTTTACGTTCATTTATGTTCGTTCATATAAGTTCATTTTATGTTCATATATGCTTAATTGTGTTTGATTACATTACTATATTGTATGTTCATTTATATTCATATATATTCATATATATTTGTTTATCTTTGTTTATTTATGTTCGTTCGTTTATGTTCGTTTAATATGTTCACGAACATAAACGAACGAACATGAACATTGTAATTTGTTAAACGAACGAACATGAACAAGAAACATCATTCGTTTATCCGTTCGTGTTCGTTCGTTTGTTCGGCTTACTTAAACGAACGAACACGAACAAGCCCTCATTCATGTTTGTTCGGTTCGTTTACAACTTTATTTGAACCTATCTATCGAACCATCTATTTTTCCATTTAACCTTATACAACCATTTTCATGATACATGTTTTACATCAAATGGTTTTGGAACCAAACCCTAGGTTTGGTTTGTTATCAAAGCACCGTACCTTCCTCAAAGGCACAATCCCATTCTCTTTTATTACAAGCTAGCCCATATGATTCTGGTTCTCTCACCTCGTCTTCAACTAAGGCGACATTGACATATTTTGGATTAAGTTCCATTGGTCTTGCAACTTGTCTTAAAAATGACATGGAACGTAAATTTCTATCATGGATAGTGTTTCCACAAATTTTTGCTAAGTGACGACTTTTCCTCTCAGAGACTCTATTTTGTCACGGGGTATTGGGGTAGGTTAGTTGACGACCAATCTTGTTCCCTTCAAGTATTCAACAAACTCAAATGTCAAGTATTCGTCGCGTTATTTAATTTGAACCGCCGGATACTATGCTAAGTCTCTCTTTCAGCCAGAGTCTTAAATTCTTTGCTAGCACCTCCAACTTTTCCTTCATAACATACACCCACATAAAGCGAGATCTGGAAATCATCTATGAAGGTCACAATATCCTATCCTATGCCTTTAATTTAGCATTGTTTTACTAGACTGAAAACCTCTGAATGCATAATTTCTAGAGGAAACATAGCTTGGTTATAAGTTGATTGTTCGTAAGGTCGCTGATGAGCCTTACCATATTGGTAACCGGCACACACCAAGTCCATCTTAATATAGAGTTGTGGTAATGTGGTGACCATTTTCTTCTTCATTATCATCAACATTCTAATTCTTCTTTGTCTTTTACATACATTTTTCTTCGGCAGACATCGCATAATAGCTTTTCAAGTAAAAACATATATAGCTGTTTTTTTTTCTTCCCCTTTATCAATTGGTATTCATGAATTAAATAGATAATTAGATATAATATTTAAATTCAGAACATCGATATTGTATAAGAAAATGTCAATCATTGCCGAATGAAACATAGTTATGATCAGACAATTTTTTAAATATTGCATGTCAAATCATGAAATCATATACTATATTGTCGTTTCTACGTAGCATGCTAAATATATTATAAAAATAATTTGGATGTTAATATTTGTAATTATATGGGAATAAGCATGTCCTTTCGGTTAACGATCAACCTAAAGAATTTACACAATATTGACTTCTTGGCCAGCAACGTACCCTTGTAATATTAAATTTGTATTTAAGAAAATTAAAATTATTATTTGTTCATCTATAGGTTTAACAAATTTTCTTTCTATCTACAAATAATATGGTTTTCATTTTGTTTAATCATTTCAAGGAACTATTCAAAACAATTTCACATAAAGAAATAATCCTAGTGAAAAAACAAAAAAATTAAACAATATTTAATGTGGTTCACACGATCATAATGACGGGCTATGTCCACGGATGTATAAGAAAGATAACTTTTATTAATACTACCAAAATAGAATACTTAGCTTGGGTTACACGAATTCAGAAGATCTAGTTATAAGAGCGCAACGATCTATAAAATCAGTTAATAAGGCCAAACCCGAAAACTGACAAATCTATCATGTGGCTATAAGATCAAAGGGTGAACCAGCTCAATACATTTTTTTCCTCAATAATAAAATGCATTTTCATCTAATTAAATTTGAAAATATATGCATGGCCAATTGTTTATAAATCTCTCATTTTATACACGTGATCAATATCAACAAATACTAACGTCGTCTATACACCTAAAAAGGTTCTAATATTTAAAATACATAATTTATAAAATTAATTTAAATTATTTATGAAGAGAACTTTGTTCCTTCTCTCTATATGTATATGTAGAACATAGCTCATATCAACACTTTCTATGTTCTTCTATCTTGATTGTTTCTCCTCATTGCTACAAAAATGCCAACCAAAATGGTAAACATCTCTCTCTCTCTCTCTCTCTCTCTCTCTCTATATATATATATATATATATATATATATATTGATGTGGAATTTAATTGTGTGATGACAAATGATGGTTGTAGATGACATGTTGCAAAGAAAAGGCTGTTTTGGTGGCTGTTTACGAGGAGAAACCGAGAAAAAGAAGATTAAAAACAAGCAAGAACAAGGACACTAAACAAGAACATCATCATCACCATCACCACCACCACCATCTCCATATCCACCAGTCAAAGAACAGTGTAGGAAACAACAGAAAAGCCGAGCTTCTTAGCTACTCTCAACATCTACGAGAGTCTTCAAAATCTAGATCATCCACCTCCCCCCACCATCATAAACCGCTAGTAGATTCTACCACTGACAGCAAACAAACTATGGCTCCGGTAATTCCTGTCCCATCTTATATGTTTCCTAATTACGTATAATTTAGTATGATTGAATACATGGATTCCTCTTTGAACATATATGAAATTGTATTATAGTAATAGTGTATATATATAATTAGTATAAGATTGGAACATGTAACTTTATTGATCGGTGTTAATAATATGCAATTTGATAGGTACTTCCTGTACAAAATAAGCAAAAGCAAAAGAGGAAACCGAGTTGTGTGGGTTTGGACAACCTACTCAAGTGTTTCGCCATATCACATGCTAAGAGAAGGGTAAAGAATAATAAGAAGAAAAGTAATAAATCTTCGACAAAGAAGGCGAATGAAATAATGAAAGCTTTTAGTAAAAGGACTGAGAAAGGAGGAAGTCGATTTCTCTCGAAAGTGATGGCAACCATACAAAAATATAGGTGAAACTATCAATTTTACAATCTTAATGATCACTTCCTTGATCAGTACGGATCGGATTTCGTTATTATTAGTTGTGATAATTAGTAACCATATATCAAATTACTTATCTTATTTGCATATACTTTTTATGTTGTAAGACTTGATCATATACATAAACCTCACATGATCACAGCTTATTTACACATAGATAGAAGAATAGATAGGGTATACTAACTAAACCACCTTTAAAAGACAATAACCGAGACAAATTGGGGCTAATCCACTTGGCTAACAGGGTGCTTCTAACAAGGAGGTTTTGGGTTCAATCTTACACATATACTAACTCGTCATTCTATAAAAAAAAAGACAATAAACTAAGGTTCTAAATGGCTTGATGCGTGAAGTGATGGCAAAACAAGCCTCAAGCTCTACGTGTCATGGTGTGTATGTGACTTGAGACAACAATTTTAAATACATAAAAAAGAGCAGTCACATAATTGTTGATTTATATCAAACATATCAAGTTCTGAAAGTGTTATATCAACACCTAATATCAAAAACTTAACAAAAACTCAATGGTTTAATGTCCGATCATACAAAAAAAAAATGTTCCTTGAAAATAAAAACTTGCTCTATAACGCACAGCCAAGCCTCTTGTTGGATGCTACACATAACACTCATGTTTTCGAGATGGCATACCTTACCACATCTTGCAATATATCTTGAAACGATCCTCATGTGCACTTTTGTGAGATACATACAATGTGTAAAGCATTTACTGTTGGAAAAAAAAAAATAGGTTTACCATTTTTCGAAAATGTTATTCCCCAGTTTTGAACATGATTTTCAATCCATAATGAACAAATAGTTAGATGATTGTGTTCTATACCTTTGTTGTGGTATATTACACATCCAATGGCGGAATTAAAAAGAATAGGATCGGAGTCGCGCCCCTTTTCTAATCCCCATATATTTTAGTTCACATTAATCGTAAAGCCCAATAACCACCATATGCTTCTCATTGGCTGATTGCATTTAAAGCCCACGTCCCTCGGGACTTATCTCTTTTAATTGGGCCTTTCGCATTTAATGTGTAAAAGAGTTGAGCTACTCAGATAGGATCGTTAAAAGCTCAAAACGAGCCGAGCCTTAACGAGCCCGAGCCTAGAATAAAGCTCATTTAACAAATGAGCTTGATTTCGAGCCTGCACTTTCAAGCTCGTTTAAGCTCGCGAGCTTAAACGAGCTTTTTTATAAATATACTTTTATTTTATATATTATTATTTATTACTTATATATTATTAAAATTTGGAAAAATAACGTGTCGATCCGGATCTTAGACGAGTTTTACGGACAGACGAGCCTTAATGAGTCTTAACGAGCCGATCCCAAGCTTTATATATGTTTCACGAGCTCGAGCCCGAACTCGGGCCTCCAAACTCATAACGAGCTCGAGCTTCAATAACTTTAAACGGGCCTGGCTCGATTAGTGTGAAGCTCGGCTCGACTCGGTTCATTTACATCCCTATTTAATAGCCACAATCACAAAGATGTATAATGTATTAATTAATTACGTGATTAGATCGGCGCTGCTCACTAATTTTAAATCCCGGAAATCAGTTATATATGTATAATATCCCGTTTCCTAAATAAATAAAGATTTCGATAATTTATGTTTGTTTGAAATATGTAAATAAACTTATTTTTAGGCTCATAAAAACTATCACATTGCAGACAACACATTTATCATAATACTCCATATTGGATTCTTTAGGTTACTTTAAGTTTTAGCATTTCAAGTTTAAAATTTCTTTTATTTACTATTTAAACTGAACGCATGTAACGATATTTGTTATTCGACTTTATCATTACTTGTTACACTATGCCCTTTTAATTGAATTGGAATGTAGTTCACTTTTTACAACTTTAATCTGTAATTTGTAATAATCAGTCATTTTTAATATAAAAAATATATTTTGAAATTTCACAATCATTGAAGAGATTGTGATTTTGAAATCATGACTCATATTCTATTTAGTATTGCTCTTCTAAGTTTTTTTGCAGCATTTTTGTACTTTTTTATTTTCCCAAACGAACCTCATTTAATTAGAGTGAATGAAAAAGAAAGGCAGGAATGTGATTGTGACATGTAATATTACACAAGCCGGAAAAGATGGGGATGCAAACAATGTTTTAAAAGCAAGTTTTTTAACTGAATAGGTCAGTTCGAACCGGTTTTTAAAACATTGGATGCAAAACTACATTATGCTAAAATTTTGGCCCCATGCACACGTCCATAGCAAATTTAAGATAAATTAGAAATTGATCATTAAAGTGAGTTAGTTGGAGTATGTTAATAAAGAAATTTAATGAGTTTTAGTTCATACTATATGAGTGACTATACGAGTGAGAGAACGAATATATATATATATATATATATAGATATATATATATATATATATATATATATATATATATATAAAAGTACAAAGGCTTCTAAGCCTAATAAGACTTATATCTTTTATCATACCTAAATAATTACTATTATCACAATTTGTTATGTTAGTCATTATTCATCTTTTGTCATTTAGAAATCATACTTTGAACTTATGCATTATACTTCCAGTTGTTCGATTGTTGCATACTAATGGTTTCATTATAAATTTTAACATATTATAACATATATATTATAAATTTTGACATATTATAACATATATATTATAGCATATCAGTTCACTTGATGACTCTATTCTAAATTTTCATGATAATAAATATTCTAGTAGAACCTATTATGAACTAGTCCATAAACTAATGAGTTTTATAGGTTACATTTAGACATATTTGCACAACAGGATCATCATAAAATATAATTATGGGCATGTGCAACCTATGGATATAAGTCTTTACACATTATAGCAACATACTATTGAAATTATCATAAACCTTAGGTGAAATCGAAATTCTCGATTAGAATTACATACCTTTAGTGTTACAATCCTATATACCACTCTTTGATCCTCAGTTTCTCTTTAGAAAGCTAGTACCAAAATTATGGTTACCTCTAATAGCTCACATTCAAACCCTAGAAACTAGAAAACGATTTAGAGAGAGAAAGAGAGAGAGAGAGAGAGAGAGAGAAGAAAGGTGGAATTTTCAGCCTAAGCTTCACAAGAGAATGGATTGCCGAAAATTCTAACCTTAGAGGTCTATTTATAGTTGTCAGATATCTAGAATAAACCCTAATTTGAATATTAAAATAATATATTTTAATCCAATTCAATTCTGTTTCCTTATCTGCACTTGGAGGCTTCTAAAACCCCTTGGAGGAGCTCCTTAAAACCATTCAAGCAAGGAGGATTCTAGAATCCCTCTTTTTCTCAAATTTTAAGCAATTGCAGTTCAACCCCTTGTACCTCTATTTAATTTCAATTAACCCAAAATTAATTTCCAATTAATTCTGAATAATTCTAAATTTTAATTCTAATCAATTTTTAATTAATTTATTAATGATATAACAAATTAATATATTATTTATTGATGGGTTTTGAGCACTATAACAATCTTATGGTGCACATACAACCCTAATGCTTTGGATCTAAGTTTTCTCAAGTTATACATGCAATTTTCATTTATCCAAAGCATGAACCCTAACTAGCATATAATTTTGAGATTTACAACATAAAACAAGTTAGATGAATACCTCTTTGTTGTAGCTTGTAGAACTTGACCTTTCAAGAGCTTAATACCTCAAATGTGACACCTCAAATAAGTCACAACCACCAAGAACAGTGGAGGACTATAAGAGAGAGGCTAGGAGGCACCAAAAATTAGCTAGGGTTTCTTCTTGGAAGTCTTGGCCGTTTTTGGGAGTGCTAGGGGTTACATTTATAGTGTGGAATTCCTAGGGTTTTAACTTGTAAACCATAATTCATTATGGACTCTTCACATTTGATAGACCCTTTGGACTAACTTTTCATGGACTCTCACATAGATTTAGTCCATCCCTAATCAACATTGATCATTAGCCCAAACTATATGTATTACTGATTTACCTAATCAGTCTCCGTTAATTTAATCAGTCTCTTTTGATCACTAAATTAATTCCAAATTAATTCATGATCAATACCAATTAAATAATATGATTTCTCAATTAATATATCATTCTTATAATATATTAATAAATCACAAATAACCTCTTTCTCAAATATCCATCCTATCAAATTGCTACGGTGAAAGCAACCCAAAAGGACCATGCTACTATCGGGTAAAGTACATACCAATTATAGTTATGGGCTTAGACACCTAGTTCAACAGTCTCCCACTTGGATAAGTCTAATAACTATAACTGCCAATGTAACTTCAAAATTCGATTAGCAATCGTAGCTCTCAAAAGCCACTTTCTAACTCTGATCTAGTCCATGAATCGTCCTTTAGATAAGTGATCATATAATCCTCTGTTCTTCAAGATATCGTGTGGACAAAGACATGGAATAAATTCATACTCATTGTCCAACAGTTTGTTTCCCGATTTCTGATTTGTTTGACATAGAACTTAATTGAACACATCAATTGAGTCCTGAACGGGCCTGACACATAAGTCAAAACAAAATCATCGAGGGGCCCATGATATCGCTTTTAATCCTCTTAGGATAAAAGGAACATATAAACTTCGACTTATATGCTTGTACTAATTACTCGTTAAATTATACACAACAACACGTTTTATAACATCAAGTTAGCGTTTTCGTACTATCAATGCACAACAAACTCGTAATCAACAACTCATATACCTTGGTTTGAAGACTATACGATATTATCGTCTCACAATCACTTGTGATAAATTCCATGAAGTGATTCATGTTAGCGTGGGTTTATCCCAATACTCAAATCTTATTTCAGGAGCACTCATGAACGTTGTAGCAAACTTTTGCTATGTCTAAACACTTTAGACAATCTACAAGCCAATTCATGACAGTCTAACTTCATAACCTACTTCCAAAGTATGATTGATTGTGGATAGTTCGAATAATCATATTATTCTGGAAGTCAAAACATGCAAAAAATGAAACATAAAATAAACAATTGACAGAAGACAGTAAACTTTACTTAT